TTTGGAAAACTTGACACTTATAGTATAGTTAAAATCTGGTCACACTGTTGTGCAGTTCCAGCTCCTCCCCAGCCATAGGAATTGCATGTTGGATATGGGCTATCAATAGTACATGCATCACTACAGTGTGAAGACCAAGGAGCTGAGGCAGGCATGCCAGAAAGCAAGGGAGTCCACCCGTCACTCTCGTGTTGTGTGGCAGACCTGGAGCTGAACACCGTCCAGCGGTGACCAGTGTTCCCCCTGATTTTGCCGATGCACGTGCAGAATGGATTTTGTTATGTGCACCAATGTGGAGTCGGGGTGTCACACATGACCTCAGTGCTGGTGCACATAACAAAATTCATGTGGCAGAGCCAAAAGGCTGCGAGTGTGGGAGAAAGCTAAGGGCTGGGGCAGAGAGTTGAGGTGCAGGAAGTGCAGGCTCTGGGGTGGGGCCAGGGATGAGGGCTCAAGGCTAGTGCAGGAGGGTGAGGGCTTTGGCTGGCGATATGGGCTCTGGGATGGGGCTAGAGATAAGGAGTTTGAGATCCAGGCTGCCCTGTGACTACAGCATGAAGAGAGGAGATTACTCTCTCCGCAGCAGCACCTGGGCTGGGAGAAAGGCACCTCTCTGCACTGCAGCAGCTCTGGGCCTGGTACCACGAGATAGATACCTCCCCCCTGGCTGCAGCAGATCCAGTCTGGGTCTGGGTTGGGCCTGGGGAAGGAGCACTCTCCCCTAGCTGCAGCAAGTCTGGGGCTAGCAGGGAGAGGCATTTCTCCCCTCCACAGCCCCGAGCGCCTGTGTAACACTTAATAGGCTACTGCATGGCCACACAGGTTAGAGGAAACTTAGTCACATGGTGACACCCCCCCTCCACTGGCACACGCCCTGGGTACTTCAGGAGGGCTGGAGACAGTGGTTCATGGTCTCAGCCTCAAGGTCAAAGTGGTGGATGAGGATGGGACAGGACAGGCGACAGTTGTCTGGTAACATGGCAATCCAGGACCACTTCTGGGGCCCTGAAGTCTCAGTCCCTCACTCCTTCTCTGGTGCACATGACACATGGGAAGGGAGCTCTGGTAAGTTCTCTTTTTGAGTTGTTGCCAATCAGCTGTGATAAGCTAGAAGTGGGTTAAGGGATAGAAACATACAAGACTGCTGTGTTTGCATCTGCTTCTCATTCCTCTGTGCAGCTCTGCAGTGGAGGCCCTGCAGAAAAGTTTTTTTAATGTACATTGAGACTTCATGGGAATTCTCCAGGGAGATCTATAGGAAACTTTCCTGGAGGTACTCACTAATCAGAGCTGCGTTGTTAATTCCCTCACTGTAGGAAACTTTCCCGCACCAGTTAGCAATCACTTGTGCAGTGACCAAAGCAGTACATAGGCAGCAGCACAGGGTGCCAGTCTGAAGTGGCCTGGAGTGAATTTTCGAGGGCCTGGAGTAGATGATAAAAATGAAGGCAGACCACACTCAGATATTGAAGTGCCAAATCACGCAGCAGGCAGAACATGCGTGCGTCTCCTCCCTCTCCTCCTAGGCCATACAAAACTGCCAGCCATGCTCTCCTCAGACTCACCCACATATTTCTTACATCTTCCTGGCCCATCATAGTATACCCCATTCACTCCGCCCCTTTGGACAGGTTCCCTAGCGATAGCTGGATTTACACACAGCTGTGAGAGACAGCTCAAGAGAGAGCCCCTTTCACAGCTACATCTCTTTCAAGAAAGTATTTTCTGTGTATTGTGTATTCCTCTTTAATAAGAAAAAATACTCTCTGTAAGAAAATCAATCTTTATTTGCCTCCTACACACAATACTTGCTGCTGTGGCAATTGGCACATTTTCAAACTACAAATCATGGTTAAGGAGCAATCATCAACATGGTTATTTCAGACAGCAAACAAACAAAAGATGGCAGAATATATTATATAAAGACACATTACTGTTGCTCATTATCAAAATGGTGCTTCAAAGCTTGCCTGATTCAAATAGCCCCCTGTTGTACCCCTCTAAGGGCATGTATTCCATACAATAAGCTATTCCAGAAGAAATACTCCACAATAGCTTATTTCAAAATAGCACTTCTACACTACAGGGAAACTTCAAAATTAGTCTGAGGCAGGTTTCCCTAATGTGGATGTGTTACCTCGTTTAGAGCCCCAAGAAGCACTGGGAAGTAATTATTTTGAATGGCCCTGGGGAGGCGCTATTTCAAAATAGCGATATTTCACACTACAGCTATTTCGAAATAGCTATATCAGAATAGGTGTTATTCCTCATGGAATGAGGTTTACAGAAGTTGGAATAAGATGTCAGTTATTTTGAAATTATTCAAAATAATGGAATTGCTGTGTAGACACACCCTAATAGTCTTGGTATCTGGCAGTTCAAAATTAGCTGCCAGGCAATCTGCCTCCATGCTCATCCATATAGAAACTTCCCCCAGTACGAAATGTACACTAGGCTACTATGACCATGGGAATGTTTTCCTTACTGAGTTCTAAACTGCCATAAAGGCAGTGCCAGTGAGCCTTTAATCTTCCCAGCGCACATTCATAGGTCTTTGTGCAGCTGCTCAGCCTATTGTTCAAATGTTCCTTGCTGCCGTCTAGTTTACCTCTAAGGCTTCATGGGAGTGAGGAGTAGGTGGGTCTCCCCGGGTCATTATGGACATTTCAGCATCATGCATCCAGCATCTTTTGGTCTGGAAAAGAAAGTCCTGCTTGCAGCTTTCTGTTCAGGTCCGTGTTCATGAAGTTGCATATCTCATGCACCTTCCCTGACAATCCTGTGTTGATATTAGTGAAATGACCTATTGATCTACAGAGACCTGCAATACCATGTAGAAGTACCCATTTCTTGTTAATGTACACTATCACACGATGGTCCTCGGCCTGAATTGGACTATGTGTGGCATCTATCGCCTTGCTACAGTTAGGGAATTCCATTGCCACAAAACCATCCGCTATCTCACGCACAGTTCTAAGAGTCACACAGCATTATAACAGGATACAGTGAATGGCCCTACGCACTTATGTGAACACATCCCCTCTGATGAACCCCCTGACTCCAAACTGATTCATGATGGATAGGAAGCAGTCCAGAGTTGCCAGCTTCCACACAACAATCACCATATGCTTTTTCACTGGCATGGCAGCTCTTATTTTGGTAGTGTTGTGCCCTAGAGTTGGGCCGGGCTCCGCACACAGTTCTAGTAGGATGGCTTTCTGCAGCCACCGCTTGCCATCCTGGTCCTGCAGAGTGATGTGATCCCACCACTCAGTTCTTGTTTCCTGAGTCCAAAAGTGAGAGTCTACCGCGTGCAGCTACTTCATTAACGCCAAAAATAATCTGGAATCATTTCTTTCCATGGCGTACAGCAGGGCAGGCACATCAGATTCCTGTTCAGAATCAAAGCTTATGAAATACGATGTGCTCGCTGCTTTGTGTTCATAACAATGCTTGCAACACTAGAGAGCAGAGCAGGATTCATGGTTGCTGGGAGAGATGGTTGGTGGAGAGTATACAGTGGCTACTGAAAAATGGCACAAAATATGTTCGGAAACTCATTGAATAATAGAACAGAAAAAATGCCTCATGGGACCCTGAGCCTGCACTCATGATGCACTGCAACCCATTCCAACCTCCCCATAACCCCTTAACTGCAAAAGGTGGTGAGTTGCACAGTAACTATAGCTACCCACACTACACTGCCCTGTCTGTTGATGGTAGAATACCAACTGTGGATGCCTTCCACCAATACACGGAACAGTGTGTGAATGTGCACAAGTGATGGAACTACAGTGTTTTATGATCATTGGTGTAACCTGAGTCAATTTAACTTTGTTGGGTAGATGTAGACATCCTCAGTTTATGAGGGGGACGGAAGTACCAGGGTGATGAAGAATGGAGGAAATGTCCATAACGAATGAAATCCCAGCTTTGTCTAGTCTGTGAAAGGAGCTTATTAGAACAACTGGGAATGAGGGTACGTCTACACTACCCTCCTAATTCGAACTAGGAGGGTAATGTAGGCATACCGCACTTGCAAATGAAGCCTGGGATTGGAATTTCCCGGGCTTCATTTGCATAAGCCGGGCGCCGCCATTTTTAAATCCCGGCTAGTTCGAACCCCGTGCCGCGGAGGAGTACAGCTAGTTCGGATTAGAAGCCTAATCCGAACTAGCTACTCCGTGCCGCGGGTAGCCGCGCGGCCCGGGGGTCGAACTAGCTGGGATTTAAAAATGGCAGCGCCCGGCTTATGCAAATGAAGCCCGGGAAATTCAAATCCCGGGCTTCATTTGCAAGTGCGGTATGCCTACATTACCCTCCTAGTTCGAATTAGGAGGGTAGTGTAGACATACCCTGAGATATCACATGTAACCAGTCTCTTGAGTGTATTAATCTTACTTTGCCTGTTCTAGTTTATTTTTCTTAGTAATCTACTCTTCTCTGTCTTCTCTCTCATGACCACTTACATCCAACCTTTTATACTTAATGAAATCACTTTTGTATATTAATAAACCCCGTATAAATAATTGTGACTGGGAAAGCTGTTTGTATTTCTCTGTACACCAAGAAAGAGGATGAACAACAGGAGCTTACTTTATATAAAGCTTTATATAGAGTAAAATGGATTTATCTTGAGTTCAGGGCCCATTGGAGCTGTGTGCCTGGTTCCTATGGCAAGTCCCTTTAGCTGAGCCTTCCCAGAGCTGAGGCGAGCTGGGCTCAGTGTCTGTATTATACTGCACAGGGCTGTGACTCTGTCTCTTTGTCGCTGCTGGAAGAGACCTGAGGGCCTGCTCAGCAGTTCAGAGTTGAGAGGTGCCCATGAGGGCAGGAAAGTGGGCTCAGTGGTAATTCAGCATATCCCAAGGAGGTCTCAGCGACTGAACTTATCACACTATGATTCTGAAATGTTTGTCTCTAAGGGGAATTCTAATTTAATAGCCTTGGGGATTTTACTGAAATCTCATTACACAATTTGCATTTTTCTTTTCATCCAGAAATTGGGCCAGTGACAATTACTACAGATCCCAAGAAATTTCAGTATGAACTCCGGGAACTTTATGTTCAGGTGAGTAACTTACCCATTCTGTATAGTTCTAATCTCCATAGCCTTCTTTCTCCGTAGGCAGGCTCCGTTATGCTAGCAGTCCTTCATATACAAAATACTGCAACAAATGGGAATAGTCTTAGAACTAGTTTGTGTTCTGAGAACTATTTCGTAATTGTTTTTTACTGATTCTGTTAGCTGGTTAAAAACCTGCCAATAATTTGTTGAAACATTCAATTTTCTTTGCGTGGGAAATATTTGTCTACAGTGCTGAAACATTTCAAGAAGTTCTACAGAATATCTAATTCAGATAATAAACATACATACATGAAAGGTTATCTGACATCATCCACCATGGTATCACCTGGCACAGGCAGTTAAAAGGTCAGTTTTCCATCAGATACACTCAATTCTTGAGGCACTCTCTGTCATCATCCTAATTTCCTGTGTTTATCAATCAGATGGTTCAGAGTATGAATCACCTGAGGGCTTGGCTTTGGTCTCACACAGGTGTAAATCATCAAGAGTAACTCCTCTGAAGGCAGGCTATGTCTACACTACATGTTTTGTCAGCCGAGGCAATGCAAATGAAGTGCTGATTAGCATTTTCTCACGCCTCCTTTGCATAAGCTATTCTGATTCGTTTTTGCGCAAGAGGTTTTTGCGCAAAAACATGCAGTGTGGACGTGTCCGTTTTGCCCTATGTCTGTACTACATGGGGGCCCAATTCGGGAGCGGTATAAGGATCTTGCTCAAAAAGGGATTTTTGCGCAAAACAGACACGTCCACACTGCATATTCTTGCACAAAAACCTCTTGTGCAAAAATTGATCAAAATAGATTATGCAAATGAAGAACGAGAAAATGCTAATCAGTCAGTGCTTTATTTGCATTTCTCTTCAGAAAAAGCACAGGGTATGTCTAGACTACATGGCTCCATTTCATGAGGCATACCATAGCTGTTGACAAAGGCTTCCCTTGTCGACTGCAGCAGGTCCAGACTGCCCTGCTGTGCCGCCAAACAGCTGATCAGCACAGCGCAGCGGCCATTTTGATGTAAATGAAGCAGCAATTATTTAAATTGCCGCTTCATTTTCTATGTCTAGTAAACTCATCTACATGGCTCCGTCGACGGAGCCATGTAGTCTAGACATACCCAAAGTGTAGTCATAGGCTGAGTGGAATTACTTTGGTTTAAAGAAACTATACATGAGATCAGAATTGGTCCCTATCAAACCTTTCCGAGTCACACTTAAAATCTGAATATTTCTTCACTCCACCTGTGTTCTATTAGACTAATGTTTATTTTTCATATAAACAGTAAAACTACTTTGTTAGTTACTACACACCTTGATCCCTGTACAGCAAGAATCAGTTCCCTATCACAGAGGGCTGCCATTTCAAAAGGTAAAACATCACATTAAAAAAAAAAAGAGGAAAGCATTTTACATATAAAACTTATATGTTAGTTACAAACATTATAAATAATTTGTCCAAATGGAAATTAAAAATGTGTATACTTATGTTCTGAAGTTCTCTGGGATATTTGGGCTCAGTCCAGTTCACTGAGGAGCTCCAGGTAAATATCTGAACTTACTCAAACTAGCCATGTTTCCGAGGCCTAAATTTAACTTTGGTATAGAGTTACACTCACTTATATTAGCACTGAATTTGGCCGTTAGCGTACAAAATGTGACTGGAAACATCATTAGAAAAGACTCTTCTAATTAAAACAGTAATATTTTTTGCATTGGGCTCCATTAAATTAATCACAATCCACAATCAGAGGCTCTGTCGTGGATCCCCCTCCCCATGTTTTATGAAAGTTGGCTTATGAATATACATAACTGAGGGTGTGTCTACACTACAGAGTTTTTTGGGGAAAACGGCCGTTTTTCCAAAAAAACCCTTGCTTATGTCCACAGTACAATTGCATTCTTCCTAAAGAAAATTGAAAGAATAGAGGGGGTTTTCTGACATTCTACGAAGAAGAAGCCTTTTTCCGAAAGAGCTCTTTTGGAAAAAGGTGTGTCTGGACAGGGAAGAGGGAGTTCTTTTGAAAGAAGAGGAAAGAGAAAAAAGCACAGGTGCCCTAATGGGCACCCCGTCCATAGTAATCACAGCTTACATGAGAGATAGCGTCCATTCAGTGTGGATGCTATCTTTCGAAAAAGCAGATCGCTTTTTCGATGTACTTTTGCAGTGTGGATGCTCTCTTTTGTAAGAAGTTTTTCCAGAAGATCTTTTCCTGAAAGCCCAGGCCCCTCCACTTGCATTGGGTAAGAGGGCCCCAAGAACAGGCCCACTCCCTGTATTCTTTCAGAAGCTGAGGGTCCACAACTCCCCACAGCTGCCCGAGCGGCTCTCATCTGGACTGGCGCCTGTGAGGCAAGAGGAAGGGCAGAGATCCAGACCTGTGGCGAAAACTGGACAAGCCAGGTCCATCCATGACCACAGGGAGCAGCACGGGGCCAGAGACCAGGACTGGGACAGCTCTAATCCCACTGGGTCAGCAGGGGACAGGAGTGGAGAAAAGGACAGCTATCTACTATATGTTTCAGAGAGTTTGTCAGTGTGTGTGTCTGTTTGTCTGTGTCTGTCTGCCCCCCACACAGGGGAATGCATCCTTCCTCCTGCTGTGTCCGTTGTAGCTACAGCAGCCATGGACAGGTGCTTCTCACCTGGCCCCAAACTGCTATGGTGAGAGAGGGCTGGGGTCCTCTCTCCCTGGGGCAGTCTGCCTACTGAACCCCCTCATCCAAGCCCAATCCCAATCCCAGAGCAATGATTTAAATGAAGAAAAACAAAACTTATTTGAGTTATGGATCTGAGCAGTGCTGGGTAAATCTTCTAATTAGTAATAATATCAAAAGAACCACAACTGGCATCAGAATAGTTATATCACTGCTAAGGTAGTTTGTACTGGTATAGTTAATTCTCCTCCGTATGCCGGAGTAGGCTATATTTCCTTGGTGCTTCATAATTAAAAGTCCCTCTTACTCTAACCCCAGAACAAAAAGTGCCCTCAAAATCTTTTGATTTGTTCTCAGGGGTGAAATAAAGTCACTGGGAGTTTTGTCGTTGATTTTTAGTGGGACCAGGGTTTCATTTCTGGTTTCAGCTTAAACTCCTATAGCAGCAAGACTCCACTTTTTCAGAAAGTAGGTAAGAGAAGCTGGGAAATTTCCTTTTTACAAGATGCTAAGTCAAGGGCTTTTCTTCCCTAAACCAAAGTTTGTTGATTTATTAAAGCAAATTTTTCTCCTTTTCACATGCTCAGCTCATACTTGTAGGGTGCACATTTCCTTCTGTACAACTGGAAAGTTGTCTACATGGAGAATTTTTTTAACAGATCACTGATTTAGCAGAATTTCAATGAGAATGCCAGTTTCCCCCTTTAAAATCTGCATAGATTTGAGAAACCTGCTGAATACCTGAAGAAAGAATAGGATCACTGTATAATGGAGGAAGGAGAGAACTAAGTGTTTTCTTTTCATACCCAGCTATCATTCAGTGCACAAAATTTTCATGCAAGTCAAAGGGTTCATAATATTAAAAATAAAAATATTTTAATATATTTTATATAGTAATATATAGACTATAGTCATCTCACCCTTACTATCAAGATCAGTTCTGCTGAAATCAGTTGAACTAAATAACAGTAAGTGGTGAAGGATCAGGCTTATATTGGGAGTGCTCCCTCTAGCAACTCGTTCGGTCAGTACTGTTGTTTTGTGGCTAGAATAATTTTTTTATCCTCAAATGATCCTTGCTAGATGGGGGTCAAGTTTAGCCTTGTTGATCTCCAATGACGACAAACTTCATAATCTCCCTTTACAGCTCATTACATTATCTAATTGTTCTGATAATTACAAAGCTCTTCCATAAAATATTTACTACTTGGCACAAATTCTGTCCTTTTTTATTAATAAGAATGATTGCACCATGTCCTTTCCTTCAGCTTTAATCTGTCTTATTTCAAAGAAAAGACGATCTGCTTCTCTCGCTGATTTTGTTTTTTCCAGCGTTTTCTTTTGACTCAATTTTTTGTGTCTCTTAAATACTTTACTTGGAAAACCACAGATGGCAAGTGCTTAGAAAATGCTTCTTTTTTCTGGGAGAAACCCAGGAGTTTTAATCAAAATATGTTAAAAAAATTAATATAGTTCCAATTATTTTTTAAAATGTAAATTTCTGGCTTTTCAAAGATTATAGTTCATTCAAATGGATGTATTTTTTGTACTTATATGAACTTATTTAAATTAAAACAATATGCCATTGGCTAAAATTAAAAAAAAAAATCATAACATTAATAGAACTTCAAAGTAGTTTTTAAATAAATGGTTTGGAACTAAGATTTTATGCTAACATTTATTACAAGCTTCATCTGATTTGCAAACATTTGCTTTTGGCTTTTTTTCATCTATAAGACAGCAGTTTTTCAATTTGTTTTTCTCTGTTCCAGTTATGAAAAACTAACTGAGGGTGTTGGCCATTTTTAAACTAATTACTTTAAGACAATGTCAAATCAGGATAGTTGGGATTTTTTTTCATTAAAAATAGTATGAACACTGCAGCTACCCCTTAGCAACACAGGTAACTGTGAACAGATCCCCTGCAGTCCCTTGCCTAAGCTACACTTGTTCTCCTCTCAGTGCAGAGTCCATTTCAAGGTCTCGCTGTTCTGACATTCAGGGTATGTCTAGACTACATGGCTCTGTCGACGTGAAATGAGGTTTATGCCTCATGAAATGTCGTTTACTGGAGCAGTCAACAAAGGTTTCCCTTGTTGACCGCGGCACGTCCAGACTGCCCCGCTGTGCCGCCAAACAGCTGATTGGCACAGCGTGGCGGCCATTTTGATGTAAATGAAGCGGCGATTATTTAAATCGCTGCTTCATTTTCCTATGTCTAGTAAACTCATCTACATGGCTCCGTCAACGGAGCCATGTAGTCTAGACATACCCTCAGAGTCTTCCACAAGATTGTCCTGGTTACCTGAGAGAACACTTCACCCTTTATGTCCATGACCTCCCAGAATAGCTGTGTGCCACTGAACAATTATGGTATGACCCGTGAGGGAGACTTGTAACTTCAAGAGGCTAAGCTTTCACAAGACCTGGATCTAAACTACAGATCTAATTCCCACAAGAGATAAGAATAATTGTAAAACTAATCAGTTTTGGAACTAAACGCAGGACTAATTTCTTTAACTTAGCTCTGTCTTGTTGTGTGTGTCTGTGTGTGGGCATACATACATATAGGGACCTACCAAATTCACAGTTAATTGTGGTCAATTTCACAATTATAGTATTTTTTTAAATTGTAAATGTCATGATTTTAGCTATTTAAATCTGAAATTTCATGGTGTTGTAACTATAGGGGTCCTAACCCCAAAAGGAGTTGTGAAGGGGTCACAAGGTTATTGCAGGGGGAATGGAGGTACTGCTTTCCTTCTGCACTGCTGTTGGCTGCAGTGCTGCATTCAGAGCTGGGCAGCTGGAGAGTGGTGGCTGCTGGCCAGAAGCCCAGCTCTGCTGGCAGGGCACTGTCTTCAAAACTGGCTGCCGAGCCAACAACCCCTGCTGTCCAGCTGCTCCGCTTTGAAGTCAGTACAGAAGTAAGGATGGCTGTATTATAACCCTTCTAAATTAGCCTTGCAGTCTCCCTCTGCAATTCCCTTTTGGATCAGGCCTCCCAATTTGATTAATGCTGGTCTCCCCTGCGAAATCTGTAGAATGTAGGCTAAATGTACACAAAGGACCAGGTTTCACAGTCTATGATGTGTTTTTCACAGACATTAATTTTTGTTAGGGCCCTAAACTTGTATTAATAAACTATAAACTAATCAAGCTATTTATCCTCTCAATTATCTATGTGTAAATCTGACCAGTGTAGCTGTCAGGGCTGTTCTCCACTCTGGCACTCTGAGTGCAGAAGATGGGGGTCCACAAAAGACCTTAAATGCCTTGTCTCTGTAACAGGGGTGGCCAACTAGTTAGAGATGAAGAGTGAAGAGCCAAAATAGCTGTGGATAGAGTTTGAAGAGTCATGTATTATATATTTATTTTATGTCTATCTATAGATAGATATAGTACACAAAATGGAGTGATAAAAATAACATTATAGGACATTTCAGACAAAAACCAATAAAAAAATCTCTACTCATTTAAAAAATTCACTGCCAGTCCATAGATCTTCAGAGAACTTGACAAGGAACAAACATCAAATTAAAAAAAAAAAAACTTTAAAAATACAGTAATATTCTTACACTAAAAAAAAGCATTCCCACCATGTATTTTAAATTTAATACTACTGCCCTATTATGTTCTGTGAGTTTTTTAAAATTAAACTGAACTCAGAAGTAAATTAGCACAATTTGAAGTGACTGTTTCACTCCAGCTTGTTGATCCCTGGTATGGTTTCCTAATTTTTTTTTACTTATGAATATTATAGCTTTTTTATAGTTCTAAAAATTTAGGTCTGTCCCAGATTGCAAATATAAGAGGTTCAAAAACAATAAGGGAGAGACTCATATCTCAGAATAATTGCTCCAGCCTGGCAAACGATGGCCTTTGAATTTTCTTTAAAGAAACACAGTGTGAACCAGTACATGCTGATTCTTTTTTTGCACTGGAATTTAAATATGACATCTGTGTTGGCTGCCTTATTCTGCATCCATGAAGACTTTCAGTTTAAGGTGCTTCAGCCGCCCCCCCAACCCAATTCCCTTCCTCTCCCCCAGAACAGGCATTCCCAGCCCCCACCATAACCCAATGCTCTCCCCCTCCTCCAGAACAAGGTACTCCCACTCTAACCCAATGCCCTCCCTTTCTCCCAGAGCCTGGCACCCCCAATCTCCTCACCTCCCCCAGAGCTAGGCACTCCCCCCCCACACTCTAACCCAATGCCTGGCTTCCGCTGCCATGTGCTTCTTCCTCCAGGCGCTGGGGTGTGTGCACAGAGCAGCCGGCCGTGAGCAGTCTGGGTGTGCAGCTCAGAACTACCAAGAGCCGCATTTCTTTAAGCAAAGAGCCGCATGTGGTTCGAGAGCTGCAGGTTGGCCACCACTCCTCTACAAGCTCTGCTTAAAAAAACCTAAAAAAAACCCCCACCTTCGAAGACTCACAGATGCACTGACTCTGGAGGATAGGCTGCCCCCATCAAGTTATTTAAACTCTGAAAAAGCATGAAAGAGCACTTGAATTCCTTCCGCAGGGGTATCCCAAGCTCTTTTGCCACCAAAGAGCTTGAAAAAAGAAATAAAAAACACAGAAAAACTGTATCTCTGATAGCTGACCTCCCAGGCTAAGCAGACACACACAGACTTCTTGTTACCTCCCAGGACACAAAAATCAAATCATCGCCTTAAAAAAGGTGATTTTATTTACAAAACAAAAGAGATATACTTGATAAAGCATACTTTGTTGCTAGGTGTTACAGAGCAACTAACAAAAGAACAGATCAAAACACAAAGAACCATAGGGTACCTCTCCACTTGCTCCCTAGTTCCAGCTAGGGATGCAAATGTAGGTGACCAAAATTGCTAATGAAGCGTGGGATTTAAATATCCCGTGCTTCATTAGCATGATCTCACCGGTGTGTTACTCCGCTCAACAGCTGATTCGAACCAGAAAGTGTGCGCTGGGACACGTTAGTTCAAACCAAATCCCTTGGTTCGATCTAACGTTACTCCTCAAAAATGAACTAATGTTACTTTCTCATTTTTTCAGGAAGAATGGCTCTTGTGCAAGAGGAGTTTTTTGCGCAAAAAGGAGCCGTCTACACTGCTGCTTTTTGCGCAAAAGCCTCTTGCATAAAAGCAGCAGCTAATTAATTATGCAATTGAAGCGTGGCGATATTCCACTCTGTGCTTCATTTGCATAAGCTTTTGCGGAAGAAGGCTACTGTGTAGATGTAGTCAAAGAGAGCAGGAAGGTATCTATACGCAATTCAAATTTTAGCACTACATCCCATTGCTTTTTCTGGCCCCCTGCCAACACCCTTAGCTACCTGAGTTTTTACCCTTTAGTTACCGAGTGATGGCCAGCTCTCCTCCTATCCATCACAATAGCTAAACCAGGTTTTTGCCTGGGTAACTGAGAAAAGGACACGGCCCATTGTGTACAAAGGCAGGTAAATTCTGGGTATGGTGTGGGTAGTTGTGTAGGAAGGAACAGATAAATCAGTGTGTTATGCATTTCTTGTTACCAACACCTTTACTCATACATGCTCTTCACAAAGGTGGCTGTTTACCTATCCTACTTTGTATAGCTTGATTGTTAGTGTCTTCATTGCATTTTTTTACATCTTGACCATCAATGGGAAGTTTTAAAACTTGGCTTGCTATTATTTTAAAGTAAGTATTTTTCAGAAACCATGCAGTACAATAAATAAAAGGATAAACTGCTAGAAGTTGGAAAACAAATCTGCCTAGATCTTTCTGAAAAATAACCTAATCATTTTATTATTGCTAATGTCCATTTTCCTTTCTTATGATTACTTTCTCCACTTTCTTTAATTGTGAACAGGGCGGTGGTGACTGTCCAGAGATGAGCATTGGCGCAATCAAAATAGCTCTAGAAATTTCTCTTCCTGGTTCTTTCATCTATGTATTTACTGATGCACGATCCAAAGATTATAGGCTGACCCATGAAGTATTGCAGCTCATTCAGCAGAAGCAGTCACAGGTAAGGATAAGATTAATATTCTAGCCATTCCTGTTTATTTACCACTGTGGTAACAGCATTGTTCAGAAAAACTCTTTCCAAGATACTTGTGAAATCTTTCTGTAAAAGAGGTTATCATTCTAGCAATTAGTGTTTGTTTTGTTATTTTATAACATATTACAAATTGATATGACTAATACAAATGAAAATTAAAGGGACATTAATTAAGGTTATTAATTAAATATCACAAGATATTCCACTGCTAATATTTGCCTTCTTGGGCCTTTTGGCAGTGAATTGATGTCTGTGGATTTGTCTGACTGTTACAGTATCGATTGCTCTGGGAATGAAAAGTACTGATAGAAGTTTTATTACTTCATCCTCTCTTGATGTGATTGCTGCATGAGTTTTCTTATAGTCACTTTCCATCACTCAGTCCTGCTGGTCTTTGCTTTCTGTATGGAATTTCCATTGAAAAACATCAAATTGAAACCATTTGGCGTATTATGTGTGGAGTGGGTACAGAAACCAGCTGTGCTCCAGATTCCCTTCCTTCCTTCCTTCCTTTTTTTTTGAGGGGAGGGGAAGGCGCGGCAGGGTGTACATCTCATTTGTATAGAGCTCAGAGTAGATTAATTGAAAGTAAAATGGCTGTCCATCACACAGAAAAGTGTGAACTTTTAAAAAAAAATTCTGGTGTACTTCTCTAGTACATTTGACAATAAGATTTTTCCCATTGAGGTTTGCACTAGGTGCTCGATGTCTGCATCTTCATTTCCTTTGTGTGTTTTTCTTGTTAATACCCCAGGTTGTATTTGTGCTGACCGGAGACTGTGATGATAGGACACATATTGGTTACAAAGTCTATGAAGAAATTGCCTCAACAAGTTCTGGTCAAGTTTTCCATTTGGACAAAAAGCAAGTTAATGAGGTAATTCATAGTTAATGTTTATGGCTATCTACTACATACAGAGAGATGTAATCAATGGGCTTCCATTTAATAGCTCCATATTTTTAATGGTTCCAATTCTGATTCTGTTCCAAAGCCTTAGTGCTGCTGTTGAGACACAAAGTAGACAGAGAGCTGGCTTAATCAGCTTCTTTGGCATTTTACATGGGGGTGAATTCTGGATGCTGTAGGGCTGACGTATTGATTCTGTTGCACCCCTCCACAAGGCTTCTGGTATAGTATCTTAAGGGCTTGATTCTGCCAATTTTAACAATGCTGTTGAGACAGGATGGATACCTGTGCTTGTGAAGAACTCCACTGACTTCCACCTGCCTGTGGACCAGAACCATTGAGCAGTACCTTGCTAGTGAGTAATCCCATCAGTTTACTACTCAGAGATAGTGAGGGAGCAGTTGCTGCTCTTAATAAATGTTTTTTATTATTGCTAATTAGAAGTTCTGGTAACCACTAACAAAAATGAATATTTTCTATAGAACATTGAGTAACTTTCAGGTTCTATATTACTATAAACAGACCTGAAATTTCCCAAGTGCATGAGAATTAATTTGATGAAGACAACATCACATGTTAGTTATTTGGGTAATTGGAATCACCTGTCAATGTTGTAAACAGGCCTTTGAATTCCTGGTGTACACAACATTTTGTCACTGGGTTCTAATTTTTTTTATTATAAATAAGTAAAGTCCAAACAACGAACGTTCATTTTACTTTGTCACAATGTCTCTGGTGCATTGCAGTTTGCTGCACTTGGTTTCTTGTAGAAATCAAGTTGTATCCATGTAAAGTTGCTGGCAGAGGGTTAAAAGCAGAGCTGGAGCTTGGCATAAGCAGTCTAAGCAATTGTTTGGTGCCCTGAGCAGCACCGGGGGTGCCACCTATTCACTTTTTGTGATAAGAACTTGGTGCTTACTGGTTATGGTTAACTGGCGGCCTGGCCAGGCTGGAGTAGCCCTCTGACACAGGTGGGGCACTACTCCAGCGCACCTGGGCCCTCTGTGCCATGGGTGGTGGGCACTCCAGTATGTCCAGAGCAGCCGCTGCCTGTGCCAGGCCTGGTCAGGTTGGAGCAGTCCACTGCGTTGCAAGCAGGGGGCGCTCCAGCTCGGTTGGCCCACTGTGCTATGTTGCGGGCAAGGGGCACTCCAGCCTGACTAGCCTGCTGCGCCATGCTGCAGGACAGTGCTGCACCAGCCCAGCCAGACTGGAGCGCCCCCCAACCCTGGCTTCCTGGCCTCGTTATGTATGAAACATAACGTTTAACCAGTTAACTGATTAAATGGGATTTACATCCCTAGATTTAGTATGGGGGAGCCTCAAAATACTCCTGCTTAGAACCTCCAATGGACTTGCCCTGGCGCTGTTTAAAAGTAACAATACGTGTTTCACATAGTTTCCCTCCCTAAAAAGTAAGTAGGTATCCCTGTCTTTCTACCTCTCAAGTAATGAGCCAAGTGTGGTATTTGTGTGTGAGAGACAGAGAAGGAGCGTGCACAACTGAGGAACGTGCACCACTTCTGATTTGAACTTTGCAATTTCTTATATGTGAAACTCAGAAGTTATTGTGCTGCCATTTTCTTTTTCAGTAAATTTGTATATAAAGTGTATAACCAAAACCAGTGCACACATACACCTACAGTCCAAACCATACAAACAGTCCTGCAAAGCAAAAACATGTCACTGTGTGTTCATCCAGCATAGTGAAATATAATAAATACCAAAGCCACTGATCTCAGAGAACTAGACCAGAATAGAATCTTTTAAAGCTAACGTGGTAGAAAACATTAACAGGAAACTTTCTTCTTCAGAACTTGAATTTCAGGGTATTGAATTTTTCTTTTTGTGGGTGGGATGTGGGGGAGCTGAGCTTTGGCCAGCACTGTATATAAGGAATGGTGTTATAATAAACATATTATTCTCTCTCTCTCTGTTCCCTTGTTATACCTTTTCGGTGTTACATAGCATCAGACCGGTGTTCAGAAAGCGTTAACATATAATATTCTACTGGCAGTTTGCCTCCATTTGTCTATTCCTCACGCAGTGGAGCCTCCACATTGCCAGCCTGAGTAATGCCACTCACCTAAATGCGGAGTCAAAGCAAGGACCTGGTGACATACCAGGGAACAATCTAGTTTAATGAGCAGCTGTCACCCTTGCCCTGCAACCTTGAGTGCCTTACAACATCTTGCCAAAGGAGTTCCCATATTAGCCACTCACAAACAGCTTTTTAACATGCATGCCTCACCCTGGGTGCATCTACACAGCAGCGTTACTTCGGAATAACGGCCATTATTCTGAAATAACAGTGTGAGCGTCTACACAGCAATTCTGTTGTTTCAAAACACATTTGAAGTAATGGATGGCTTATTCCAACTTCTGTAAACCTAATTCCACGAGGAATAATGCCTATTTTGAAATAGCAGTAGTGTGGATACTCCGCTGCTGCTATTTTGAAATACCTCCTCCCCTGGGCCATTCAAACTAATTACTCCCCAGTGCCTCCTGGGGCTGTAAATCGAGATAGCACGTCCACATTAGAGAAGCCTGCCTTGAACTAATTTTGAGGCTTCCCTGCAGTGTAGATGTGCTATTTTGAAATAAGCTATTGTGGAGTATTTCTTCCGTAATAGCTTATTTTGAAATAAGTGCTCAGTGTTGACGTACCCCGAGTGCTTGAGTGAAACTGCAGTCTGCCAGCAACATTTGAGTGACACTCTGCCTCTTGGCAGCCTTGGTAATATTGTAGGATGATCTTAGAATGTCCCCGATCTTAGATATTCCTCCAGAAAAGTATGTCCTATACTGCACAGCCTCTCCTGGGCAATACATTAGAAATAACATGCACACAGCTTGCCACTCCAAATGGAGTTTCCTAGACAATTCAGTTTAGACACACTGGATTAGTTAAAACAGTAATGCAAGTTTATTAAGTACAAAGAGAGATTTTAAGAGAATACAATTAATGAGGAATAAAAGTCAGAAATTATTTCATTTAAAGCACAGATAAAATGCAACTTGTGCCTAATTTAACAAGCTAAGGACGAGTTTTCTCACCGCATGCTCTCTGCAGTCTTACTGATTAACCATCTTAGATTAGAACCCCTCCCCTGGCCCAAAGGCTGCTTACTCTGTCCCTTCAGGTGCAGTGAATTGATTGGGAGAGAAGTGAGGTTTGACTGTGGCTGTTTGTTCCTCCTTTTTGTCATTTCAGTCTCCCTTTTGAAAAATGCTTCCTTATAGATACCAGGAGACAGAAATAAATGCTGATCACTCTTTCGTCAGTTGAGGTCCATAAACAATAAAAAATGGAAGATATGCATTTTAAAACATAATCATGGCTGAATTATAAATTTGGAAAGAGCTTCAAATAGCTAAATTTGAATAGCCTGCCAAGCCAATATTTTGTTTTGTTGAAACTGTTTCTAATACTCTGTCAAAAAAACAAAACAAAACAAAACAAAACCAAAACCCTACATATAATGTGTACTAAGTTTTCAGTCCACATCCTCAGCCTTGCTCTTTGTATGGTCAATGGAAAATGAAGCAATATTAACAAACTAAGCAGACAAGGAAAATTAGCTACCAGCAAACACAACATAACAAAGAGAACAATACTTGGGAGTTGCCCAATATTTGCATAGTAACGGAAAGAATAAAAAACCATGCTGCATTTTTACACTGTTGGAATACAAGGCAACCATCTCTTAATTGATATCTCGCCAAAAAGCCCACTTCTAGAAAGCCTACCTTAGTAAGAAATATTGTGCTTCTACTGCAACACTGGAAAATAAAACCTTCTTGTGTCTGAATGGCTTTGACTTTTTATTTAGGGCTTGATCTTGCTCCCACTGAAGTCAGTGATAAAATTTCCTTTCACTTAAATCCCAGTACAATTCGGATCTGTCAGTACAGGCAGTCCCCAAGTTACGCGGATCCGACTTATGTCGGATCCGCACTTACGAACGGGGCTTTCTTGCCCCGGAGCTCGCAGGCAGCGGGACCGCCCAGAGCACAGCAGTCCCGCCACCTCGACCTCTGGGGCGAGAAAAGCTGCTCCGGGTGCCCCTGGTCTGCTGGGGACCGTCTAGTACAATTCGGATCTGTCAGTACAGGCAGTCCCCAAGTTACGCGGATCCGACTTATGTCGGATCCGCACTTACGAACGGGGCTTTCTTGCCCCGGAGCTCGCAGGCAGCGGGACCGCCCAGAGCACAGCAGTCCCGCCACCTCGACCTCTGGGGCGAGAAAAGCTGCTCCGGGTGCCCCTGGTCTGCTGGGGACCGTCTCCAGCAGACCAGGGACACCTGGAGCAAAGCCGGGGAGGCGGAGGGGTCCCGCGCGTCTGA